CTCCAGGGAGACAGAGATCACAGCACACACTGGTCCCCTGGACTCCAGGGAGACAGAGATCACAGCACACACTGGTCCCCTGGGCTCCAGGAGACAGAGATCACAGCACCCACTGGTCCCCTGGGCTCCAGGAGACAGAGATCACAGCACACACCGGTCCCCTGGACTCCAGGGAGACAGGGATTGCGAGGATGCACTTCCCCGGTCCATTGCAGATGAGGGGCACACCAGGACATCCACAAAAGTAGAACCTTTACCGTGGGTGCCAGCACTGCCCGGGGGACGCAGTGGCTTCATTTCTGTCACATCCTGCGGGCTTTAGGGAGCCTGAGTTACAGCCCGAGGCCCTGTACCCTGGGTCAAACAAGTTTATGTGGGAAGTGACTAATCCTCCATGAAGGAGTGCGGAGATGGAGTCTGATCTCTGGTGGGGTGAGTGGGAGGGAGGCCTCAGCTTCGCTGGACCAGACACAGGTGCTGGTCTTCGGTCTCTACTTCCCAGTTGGAGGACTTGGGAAGGAACGGGCCGAGGTGGGGTGAGGGTGCTGAGGTCTGGGAGGCCCACGCAGTGCTGTTCCAGGGGAGACTGGGGCCCGAGAGCATGCCTGCCTGGTACCCTCTGCCCAGGACGCCACACAGCAGCACCCACCCACCCGGCTCAGGCTGCACGGGCTGGGCCAGCGGCAGCCTTCTGTCTGTGAGGTCCTACATCTCCGTGTGGTGCAGTCATCCAGCCTGAACCCAGGGCCTCCATGGGCCCCTGGCCCCACCACAGATCTGAGCCTCGGCTGTCACCGGCTGTGGTGGGAGCCTGGTTTGGGAGAGGCCTCTCGGGCAGTCAGCGTCAACAGGAGGGACGGGCTCTGAGGCTGGTGCCGCCCATCAGAACACAAACAGACAGCAGCAAGCAGGTCACCTCTTCCCCGTGGGTTACCTCACGCTCATGTCAGCTCTGCCGAATCGGCTTCTCAGGTGCACTGTCCAAAGCCCAAGAATTGCCTGGGTGTAGGGAATGCCCAGCAGATGTCGGTGTTAGCAAGGCAGGTGAGCACCAGGCCAGGCTACACAGCACCAGGCTCACCAGCTTCGGCACCCGGCATCTGCCCAGTGCGCTCCTCCTCCCTGCCTGTGTCCTGCCACCACCCCTCTAGTGGCGCTTTTGTTATGCGGGTAGCCAGGCTTTGGATCTGGCCGTGAAGTCGGGTGATCCACCCCAGAGGCACCCTGGAGCCGGCAGGAAGGTCTGCTGTACTTAGGGGTACAGAGGTGGCCCTCGTGGGGAAGTTACAGCCAGGACTGTGACCAGACACTCAGAGAAGATGCGCTGCTCTGCCCCCACCACGGTGAGCGTCAGGAAGCTTCCTTTCTTTTTTTGTTTAAATTTTATTGTGAAAATACTGTACAGAGGGGTTACAATTACATGGGCAAGGTAATGAGTACATTTCTTATCAAGCATTATTGCCTCCTCCTTGTTTCCCCTTCCCATCCCTTCCCATCCCCCCCCCACGTCAAAGTTGTAAAGTTCATTTTTCGACATAACGACTTGTACATCTCATTGTTGCAATGGGTCCTCCTGTATCCCTATTTAAACTATTTGTTTTTTCCCTTCCCCTCCACAAATTATACAAACATCAAATACAGTGGAAGCAGGGGTTATACCATGGGGGAGGGACATACAAAGCAACAAAGAAATATCTTATATGATAGAAGCAATAGCAAGAAAGACCATTTGAGTCCTTACCTTAGGGTTCATTTTCCTAACGTCAACTTAGCTGACCTTTTCTGCTTGACTCAGACATAGACTAGTTACTGCAAATAAGGGAAACCACGGGACCTATATTTCTTTGGGCCTGGCTTACTTCACTTAATATGATTTTTTCCAAGTCTTTCCATCTCCTAACAAATGTGGCAATGTCATTCTTTCTGATGGGGGCATAGAATTCCATTGTGTATATATACCACATTTTCTTGATCCATTCATCTACTGAGGGGCATCAGGGTTGCTTCCATATCTTAGCTATGGCACATAATCGGAAGCTTCCTTTCTTCTTGCATGCGGCAGCACTTTTGTGTAAGGCTGTGACTGGACTCTCCATCCACTGAGGCTTCCTCACGCTTTTTCTGTTCTGGGCAGGTGGCGCTGCCCCTGGCCCTGGTGTGGGAGGCCCAGTCCAGCCTGCTGTCCCCGGGCCACACACATGTGAGTGCCTATAATATGGCTGCAGGAGGAGCCTGGCACAGAGCTGGGGCTTGGCGATTGCTGCCGTCTCTGGCCTGGTCTGTGCAGGCACGTCCTCTCGCCGATGCCCATCTTTCCTCAGCCCCCGGCTTCAGACATTGCATGTTTCCCCTGCCCCAGAGCAGGGAGCCGGGTGAGGTGCTCTGTCAGGGGTGAAGGGGCCATGTCAAATGAGCGGTCCTCTGCCAACGTCCGCTCGTGTCCCTACAACCCCAGTACCTGCTCCCCAGGGCATTCTGTGTAGGAAGGTGAGACATGCAGAAGGGAGCAAAGGGTCTGTCTGGAGGCCTGGGGGCCCCACGGAGGCGCTGGGGCCGAGGCCTGGCTGGCTGCTCACCAGGATCTCTTGGTTGTGGCCAGCCTGGCACACTAGTGACGCTCCCTGTCCTGCCTCCCCCTGCCAGGCCCAGCTGATTCACGACAGGAACACTGCGTCCCATGCCACGGCGGCCGCCAGGACCCAGGCCCCCGCTACCCCCGACAGAGTACAGATGACCTGGACAAAGGAGAAGCTGATTGCGGAGAAGCACAGGAACAAGGACATGGGCGCATCTGGGTTCAAAGACCTCTTCAGCCTGAAGCCGTGAGTGGCCAGCGGGGTCCTTCGGGGACAGAGCCTGGAAGAGCGGACCTGCGGTGGGGACAGGCCCTGACTGCCCACTGAGGGCCAGCTGCGGTGGGGACAGGCCCTGACTGCCCACAGGGGGCTTTGGGGCGGCTCATCAACCAGTAGGCCCATTAGAATGGGAGTCAGCCTGAAGGTGCTGTCGACGTGGGGCCAGTGCTTAGGACATGCTGGTGGTGAGCGTTGCGTAGCTGAGGGGACAGTGGAGTCTGGTCACCTCTGAAGGCTGAGGCCTTGAGGCCAACTCCGCTCCCAGCCCTTCCTGGCTGTGCCCCGGCTGTAGTGCTGAGGAGGCCCAAGGCTGTTACGGTCTGGCTACCCTGAGCTACAGCCCATGGACGGACCTGATCCAGCTGACCGAGCCCCGGAGGGCTGCAGCTCCTCCTCAGCAGGTCTTCGGCAGGGGGCTGACCCTGAAGGCCTGAAATCCGGGGGGGCTGTTGCAGTGGGCCCCAGAGAAGGGCAGTGGTCAGCCATGTATGTCTGGTGTGCAGTGGGGTGTGTGGCCTTGGGACTAACCACTCTGTTCTTCTCTTCCGTGTAGAGAATGGGGAAACCTGTAAGTCCACCTGCATCGCTGAGCTGCCCCCTAGCCTTGTTGCTGTGCGTGCCTTTCTGTGTGCAGCCCTGTGCCTGTCAGCCCTATGTGTGTTCAGCTCTCTATATGCTCATCCCTGTGCATGCACAACTCTGCGCATGGCCTTGTCTGTGCATCTCCTTGTGTGTGGTCCTGTGTGTGTGTGTGTGTGTGTGCAGCCTTGCGTGTGTGGACTGTATGCGTGTGCAGCACTGCCTGTGCAGCTGAGTGTGCACAGCTCTGTGTGTGCATAGCTCTGAGTGTGCACAGCTCTGTGCACCCTGGACATGTGTAGTGCCCCGTTTGTCCTGCTCCTTCCTCTTGAAGTGGCCCAGGGTGTGTATGATGCTCAAATGATGCTCTGTCTAAGATAACATCCTCAGCTGCTCTGCCAGGAAGCAGGCAAGGAATATGCCCCCCCACGGCCCCCGGGCACAGCACACTACCTCTGCCACCTCCAGTGGAAAGGGGGAGGGTCACGTCTCGATGTCAGCATCTGAGCTCAGGGCTGGGAGTCCCGGCCGGGGTGTCTCAAGGGCAGTGTGGCTCCCGGGCAGACGTGAAGACAGCATTGCCTGCCCTGGGCCCTCTGTCCATCTGTCTCCCCTCCCTGGCCCTGCTGGCTGTCAAGCAGGTGGCCACCAGGGCATTGTTGGAGTTGGGTACTTGTGACTTCATGACTGCACCTGACTCACTCACACTGAGAAAACCCCAAGAAGTTTGGCCCATCTGGGGTCTGAGGAATCTGTTGCATGCAGGAGCTCTGCTTTCTGCTCATCTCTGTAAATCGGAGCATGCTCCCAAAGGGTTTATTAACTGAAAAACCACAGAAGAGAGACCCAGGTAGACATAGGACACACACACACACATCGGTGTGGACGTGCCCACACGTCAGTGTGGCAGCGTCTGGGCTTGACTGGCGTGGCTCAGGAGGCCCAGAGACCAGACGCTAGCTCAGGAGGCCAGAGACCAGACGGACGCTAGCTCAGGAGGCCAGAGACCAGATGGACGCTAGCTCAGGAGGCCAGAGACCAGACG